TGAGTGCTGATTGTGGATCAAACAGGTCACGGAGCCACTCTAAGGCCAGCTCGTCATCAGTCCACTCTTTTGGAGAGTAGCTAACGTGATAGGCTGATTCCGCATCGGTAAGCTTGCGGTACCAGCCTAGGCAGTGTCCCTTTCCTTTATTTAAAATAAAAGGTGCAAGTGTTATACCATCAGTAGAAATAGTTTTGATTACTGTAATCAACTCCCGTTTTAGATCGTGAGTAACTCAGGGGTTCGGCCACCCCCGCCAATAAATAACCTTTGCTCAAGTTGCTTGTCCCATTAGAAAGCCCTTTTCATCCATGTTGAATATCTGAGAGGCTTTCAGACTATACCGGCATGTCAGACCTCCTAGCTTAGCAAAATAGTCCTGTAACAGGCGTGGATCATTTGCATAAGACCGTTGTCTTTCTCAATTTGTGCTAGGTTTTGATGCTAGAGAGGGGTTACAGGTAAGAAAACAATTAATCCACTTTTTTCCTAAAGGTGCCAGTGGAGGCAGTACTCCGGTTCGCTTTTGCTCAAGAGGTATTGCCATGCTGCATACTATATCTAGTCTCGGTGGGAATCCATGGTCATCCTGATCCTCACACCACTTAACAATTGCAGACTCTTCAGCTGGTCTTAGGCATTGGTGATCTTGATGGGAAGCTACTCTGCTGCCATGGGTCCCCACAATTCTTTGGTAGAGCATTCTCTTATTGACTTCATATTCTTCCGCTGCTTCTGAGACAGGTAATGGATTATTGAGTCGCTTGACTGCCTTTATCGCTTTCTGGAGGCATTTCTCGTATTCTGACTGCTTTCGTGCCTTAACTTGACCCATGTTGTCTGGTTTTCTGGAGTGCTGTTTACTTTTGCCCTCATGAGCGGGGTTCTACTCTATCACAACAGTGTCTCATATTATGTCACAATCAGCTGACACATCTAGGTCTTGTGTCACATCACGATCCGATACGTGAGGGGGTGGGTGTGCAAATTGTGACTTCCGTGACCCTGAATCTCGACCATCTTGGTCTGCCTTGGCCGGTACCTGAGCTCACCAACGATGACCTTTGTCCAAGAACTATACAACCCCGCCATTTTGGAAATTAAACAAGCGCAAAACAGAGATCTTCTAAAGGTCTTGTGCGATCGCTGTATCTTGTGTTCAGCTGCTGCCGTTCTATCGTCGCCCGTATCTTCGCCGTATTTCGTTGCTCAAGCTGTTGCCATTTAAAAAGCTAACCAAAGAAAGAAATGTTTCACAAAGAACTCCCGCAGTTCATAGCCCCCGCGCATCCGGCGTTCCCAGCTTCCCCGCGACCCCCTCCTCCCACCGACCTCCTTCCGACGGATCAATGGTCTGGAATGCGCGCTAGACTGGGGGCTCTTTTCGTAGGGAAATCACTGTACTAGTACATCGGATATGATCAAATCTGATACAGGATACCGGACACCGACCCACTGTAAATGTACCGCGTAACACTTTAGATCTTGGTGGAGAGATGGGATAACAGGGGAAAGTAACTTCGCCACAAATATATCACGAATACCCACCCTCACCAGACTTGTAGAATAAACCCCACAGCCCCGCCCCCCAACCACTCCAGCGCAATACCCTGGTTGGAGAATCCGCAGACTGGCATGGAACATATGCCTTGTATATTCCAAGCTGATCAGGTTTCCGTCCCTACCCGCAAGCAATTACAAAGAGGCTTCCGAAGGGGCAACGGGGTAAGCGGAGATGTGAGCAGAGAGGGCTATGGGCACTAACCCTATGTTTCCTGCGATTGGAGTGGCCGAGGAGGACACGCCGGTTCGGATTCCCGGGCCTGGAGCAGAGCCGGGGCTCCGTAACGCCTTTGGAAAGATCAGCAATGTCCGTTGTCTGCTTCGTCGAGCTCTGGCTCTTCCTACCTTTATCTCTCGGGAGAGCAGTACCGAATGTCAGGCTCGATGGAGTAAGATTTACTGAATCTCAGCAACGGTAATGTGGCAAATTGCCCCGCTGTAGAAAGGGTTTGACCACTACCGGAGGGGCTACTAGGGTCGATACCTCGGTAGCCCCGTGGCATCACAGAGGGTCATTCGGTCCGGATGATACAGGGTTCGATTATCCGGCCGTGGGTAATAAGGAGTGTGGCCCACTCGAGACCTTAGACCGTGCCTGAGGGGCAGATTCTGGGGGGGCATAACAGTGGTATCGCCCTCGTACGGCGGCACGCGGAGGCCCATTCAAGCAGCCCGCATGGGGGGGTGTTGCGTAAACTATCACTGTGGTTGATATCAGAGCTTTCCACCGCTAGCCAGACCAGCTACAATCTCATCTAGAGGTTAGATGCACAGTGAAGTTCATTGAAGGTGGAGCGATTATCGAATGTCCAAATTGCGAAAGAGGTCCGGGGGACGAACCGGTAGACGGTGTCTTGATCTGCTCGGAATCCAGATGACGCAGGCGGGTCCCTGCCATTGTCCGGGGCTTCACCAAGAGGCCCGAGGTCCCCCACCAGCATAGAGCTGAATGAAGCTATAGAATAGACCACAACCACGATGATAAATAGCCCCACGTATGTTGCGAATTAAGCTACTACATCCATGGTTGTGAGGCTACCATTAATTCGCCCTCAGATAAGTAATTATCAAGGTACGCCTACGGCGGTACTAGCCATCAGATATAGCGGATCCATGTTGGACATAAGGAGAGGTCCACACTAATGGTGCAGGAAAGGGTAACGAATGCGGAAACAATGAGTGCAGTTTGAATCCTACTCTCCCACAGCGGGTGGGTAATGCCCACAGTATTTACCCTTTGGAAGCGGAGGCGTAGCATTATGACTAGGGCCGCAGGCGGTCGACCTTGTATTTGGTTGTTGGAGATAGCGGGGCCCTATGTGGGTGGTGTTCATGACCCCCAGTGGTCAGGGCTATGCTGTGATCCATGCCCCTCATCCAGCGTTCTGTGGGAGAGGGTCTGCCGACCCCTACTATCGCGTAGTGTCCCCGATACCTACTGTACTAAGACATTCTGTCCGGTCGCATTTCCCCACGCGGCACGCGAAACCAATATACAGATGGCCGGTGTAGCGAGAATCCAAAATACAATTTTCCACGGGCGGGACAAGAGGGGGCATGAACCATGAGATGGCAGAGCAGGAACACGGACGAAACTGGTGTCCATCTCCCGGGAACACCAGGGAGGGGCCGATCGCGTAGGGAGTGAACCACGTCTCCAGTCCCCGGAAATGTTTGTTGATGGTTGAAGGTGTATCTGGGGGATTATGGTGGAACAGGCTAGGGTAAAGTAATGGTTAATGTATGGTACCGGATATCAAGGGTAGTCTGTTGAACCCCTCCGGTTGGTCCAATTGCTTCTTGGCCACACCACGAATTGTATTCCCTCTAGCCACTCTGCGAGGGTTCGACAGACTTTTCTTTCACCAAGGTTTACTAGACCTTTTGTTCCCTCCCTCTCTTTAGCAGCGTTTAACGACTTCCGACCCGTTCAGTGCGCGTCGCCGAAGGCCTTATCTCAACAATGAAAGCAACGTCCTAAGCATGCCGAGCCGTGTCTAACAACTCCCAAACCTCTCGGGGCACACTGATCGGCTACGGTCTGGAATGCGCGCTAGACTGGGTGCTCGTTTCGTAGAATCTGGTGCGATGTTATATAGTACGTGTCTGAGGAGCGAGAATGGGGATGGGCCGGTGGGTTGTGGGCGAGGAGGGGAGACGGGGAGGCAGTACAGAAACCAGGTGTCGGTTGGTGTCTTGGCATCCTTGGCACTCTTGGCATTTGTCGGGTGAGTATAGTGGCACCCCATCAACCGATTTTTCGCAAAGAAACAACTGGAGATATCATAGGCTTGCACTGTTTATTGGACAAAGATGATCAAAAGTTCCTATAGTTGGGACTCGTTCTACTTATTAATAATGATAGAATCTACGAAACTAAGCTTCCCCACCCCATTCCTATTAGCGACCTTGATTCTAAAGTGCAGGTGTGGGATGATGGCCCGCTACCGAGAGAATGGTCAATAGCCTCTCGCCCAGGAGAAATGGGTATTTTCACCCGTAATTTTGCTCCTGCACACTTCGATGGCTGGATGGCGCCCGATTCACTCTGCAGAGTCACAATATACGACAGGATGAAAGAAGTGCGGTTTTCTTTTGCGGAAAGAAAGGATCGATTCTTCGGATATGGGCAGAATGTCAGCGGCGGGGTTTATGTTCAAGAAATCGATTATGAGAATGGCGAACGAGTGACAGGGATTGTGGTTGTTCGGGAAGACCCTATCTGCTCTAGCCCAGGAGAAAACTGAGGTTATCGGGATTCTATAGAGAGCACAACTACGAATGGGGATGAGCGGTAGTTTTTGGATCGAATTTCCGTATGTTATTCGTTAATGGGTCCGGTGGGGATGCCCAAAGACTAATATTTTATAGCTTCTGACGAACCGAAACGAGGGGGAGCTTCCTCTCCCTATCGAGTATTGTGTTTCCTCACCATATCTTGTGGCAATAAAGTTCGATTTTAGTTACCATCAGCTCATCTCATGGGCCCCCATCTACGCCCCGGACTTGACTGTACCCGCTTCCAAAAAGGTCATCTCCGAAATGCTTCAGTTTCTGTGCAAATACCGCCTGGATGATATAACTGTGTCAAGGTTAAAGGGCCTGAAAAGATGAGAATATCGGGTCCCGCTGGGGAGCGGATCGAGAAGGTGAAGGTGGCGTTTCACACGCTTGACCAGCAAGACAGAGTGATGGGATTGTCTTGTTAAAGAATTTCAGCCTGCTCAAGAAAATATCCACGACCTCAGTCTTGTCCTAAGGCAAGGCCCTACGTTTACTTCTTATTGAGCTCAACCTGTGGGGTAGAGGAGGCTTCTCTGCCTCATCAACCTTTTTTCACTCTGCCTATACCTATTACGTGATTGATTTTTGATCCACATAATGCAGACGTACCTTACCGGAGGTGCTATGGTACCTTGCCATTTTCATACCTAGGATGGGAATCCGCTTTCACTTTATTTTCTTCCATACTGCTTTAGGAAATGGCGGAGCGATGGGCGCGGAATTATGGGTACAGGATCGGTTGCTGATGGCAGATATTCTTGTAGAGCTGAGAGGTGAATTGCCATAGTATTGAAGTGGATTGCTGCCCGGGTGTGGGGACAGGATTAGATCTTCATGTAATTTAATTAGATAAGATTTTAAGCTATTAAGGCCGAGATCTGAAGAACTACGGTAGTATTCTAGGCCAAGAGAGCGCTCAGCGAGGCAGCACATATTCACCAAGCCTCACTTCTGAGCACTAGTGCCTGAAATGCTTACGTATATACAGAATAATACCCTCCTCCCCCACCTGCCTCTATCCTCTCCCTATTCTCCACACTGTCCTCCCAATTTTCTCTCTCTCCTTCCAGCGATTGAGTTTCCTTCATACGTTGACACCCGATCCTTCAACTGTGGTGATACGATTCCAGACTTTTTAAGCAAGGGGCTACTAGAAACCTATTAGATTAACCATCTCGGTTCGTTTCAGTTTCTCTTTTTTTATCATTTCAGTGCTTGGAACCTAACTCCCGTTTCTATTTCTGTCTAGCCAATTATGTGGTCGAATGGGCTGCATCTAAATTCAGGGTACCGGGAACCTATTAGTGCGGGGGGTAGCCATGGTGGTAACCCTCGAAGCCACCTCTACCATAGGGATTATGATGTGGATTTCTATCAATCACATGTTCCTAGGTTATCAAGACCGGTCAAACGAAAAATAGGATCCCCTCCGCTGGCACACTCTATAAAACCACCGCTACCCCCCATTCAATTGAAGAGCAGGGGCACTCCTGTCCTGCCAGTCTTTGTCCCTTGCGATAAAGATCTCCTACTTCCCAAGTTTTTTCCACAGAACGTTATGAGAGCCATGGAACCGACCGTTGCTATCCGAGATCTTGATTTGAAGAAAATTGCTGAACTTCGGGAAATGTCAGAAGGCGATGTGCATTTTCAAAATGTTTCGGATAAAGAGCTACGCGATTGGATCTGTGAAAATTCGGAACTGGTTGAGCACAAGGACATCCGATACGAGTACAACTTCCTCTCGCAGCAATTAATAATAAAATGTATGCCCACTCCGATGCATGACTCGTTGCAGTACTTCTTTACGCAAACTGTTTTTGGAATATTTGTCGAAAAGGTTGGCTTATTAAAAGCCCAAGAGTTAGTCACTACAGGCGCAGGCACTTGTAAGTAATGCCAGTCAATGAATTATTTAGGGAATTTAACTAATAATGATTAGCTTTTACTAGGTTTGAAGGGGATAGGTGTGGGTCGACAGAGAAACTTCCTGATGCCTTCGTTCAATTAGAAGGCTCGCGCTTTCCAGTGGTAGTATGCGAGTCTGGATTTGCGGAGAAACTGGAGGATTTAAAAACAGATGCCAAACTTTGGCTTCTACACACTGGAGGTCAAACAAAAATTGTTATCGTCACCTTCTTTACCGAAACTCATACAACCAGCGAGACCGACCCAACCAGCGAGACCGACCCAACCAGCGAGACCGACCCAACCAGCGAGACAGACCATACTAGAAAGGCCTCAGAAGATACGACAGGAACTGTAGGGGAGCAGTCGGGGGAGTATGCACAAGAGCGAGCACTCATAAATGGCCTAAATGAGTCGACAAAGTTTTGTGATCTCGCCAACCAGTTACTTGACCTGAATAAGTACAAGGAGCTGGGAACGCCCTTAATCGGGAAGTTACAAGCATCATTGTATGTCTATTGTGCCAACGAGGACTACAAGGACATCACCGAAGTATTCAGTACAGCAATTCTACCCCCTCCACCTGCTAATTCCGGGGCGCCACGCCAATTTCAAATCACCATGAAGGACATCTTTGGCGAAGAAGTTCCAAAGGATATGAAACCAACCGATCCAATAACGTTTAGCCTACCCGTCCTAGCAAAGATAATTGAAAAATCCCGACCCGGCACAGAAGAGTATAGGGCGACTCGACGGGCAAAAAAACTGCTAAAAGCAGCCGGCTTATGGGAACAATGCGACACGTTTGCACAGCGTAAGCGTCGGAGAAAGGACGAAGCTTGAGGATGAGGCAGGGAAACACGTTTGTTGTGGTTTGAAATCCTGTTCCGCTTAGCTATAGATTTGTTAGACTTGGGCTTAATGTGAATTTACCTGGATGGTCTGGGTTGGGAGATTTGGAATTTTGATGTTAGAGGGAGGCAAAAGTTAGCTTGAAGGAGGTGTCAGCTATGTGCTGTAATAAGTTTGAATAGCTTTGTGGTCATGCGGCGGCCTCAGCGGGTGGGACGCAAAATGGCTTTCGAGGGGTGCAAAGTGAGCGGTAGTATCACTGGAGCATTGTACCGTGCTGAATTGGTGTCGGAGCTGCGTGTACTCTTGAGGATGGGCTAGCACAGCGCATTAGTCTAGTACCGATGGCTTAATGAACAATGGAAATGAATCCAGATTAGTATCTGAGGGCAAGGAATGTGTAATACTATGCAATTATAGATTTCGGAAATGCGCTGAGGATTGGGGCATATGGCTTTGACTTCGGGCATGGGTTTATCTTCGGGCATGGGTTTGTCTTCTGAAATGCGCTGAGGATTCGGCCATATGGCCAGGGCTTCGGGTGTGGGTTCGTCTTCAGAAATGGGCTATCGATTCGGGCATATGACTTTGGGTTCGAGTGTGTGAACCTTCGTCTTTCCATATCTGGCTAGAATCACCCAGCTCAATGGGTTAGGGCTTCTACCTTCCAAGACTTTACCCGCTTCCGACGGCTTCCGTTACTTCCATCCTTACACCGTCTTCATAGCCAATTTCGTCATTCTGGAGCGATAACAATACAAATCCCGGTAAAACTGCAAGACACGGCAGAAACTCAAACCCAACCTCACCTCATCACCCCACCCATACCCGTACCCCTCGAAGGAAAACAGAAATAAACAAAAGGAGAAACGATGCCCCACCAACCCCCGCCGATAAACACAGGCGCACAGCTGTGGGCCAGGGGTGCTATATTCCATGGCCTGCGTAAGTTGTCTACTTTCCCCCCTACTAGTTTACGACGGGCGACGGAGAGCTAATTGAAAACCGTGCAGGTTGGGAATTCCATGGTGAACGCAACATATCCGCTCCTGCTCCTCGCCGGAGGCGCGGAAACTAGTGCGGGGTCTATAAAAGGCGCATTTTAGTAGCTGGATGCGGTATTACTGTCAGGGTGGCACATAAAATTTGCTGTTCGACTACCGAGCTTGGAAGACCTTCCACAGTTACTTCGGGATGCCTATCGGTTCGCTTTCTATGGGAGGCCAGGGGTTGGGTTCGTGGATTTGCCGGCGGATTATATCTAGGGTGTGCCGAAGGAGGTTGTGCAGATTGAACGGGTGGAGGAGCAACCACGGATTCTTGGCGACGAGCGGAGGGTGATGGCGGTCGCGGAGCCGTTGAAGAGGGCAGAGAGACCATTGATTGTTATTGGGAAGGGCGCGGCGTGCGCGAGGGTCGAGGGGGTATTGAGGGAGTTTATCGATGCGTGAGGATTCGCTGCTTTCTGCTGCCTAGCCGCCTGTTGGAGGGTTCGTTGGGCTGACGAAGGCGGTAGGACTAAAATCCGCTTCCTTCCAACCCCTCAAGGAAAGGGTGTCCTCCCAGATAACCACCCACTCAACACTTCCTCCGCCCGCTCTGCCGGCCTCGCAGGCACAGACGTCGTCCTTCTCGTGGGTGCCCGGCTAAACTGGATGCTACACTTTGGAGAGCCGCCAAAGTGGTCCGCGGGAGTACGCATAGCCCAAATCGACATCTCCCCCGAAGAACTCGACCGCGGCACCACCGATCCAACACTCTCAATTCATGGGGACATAACCTCCGTAACCCCACAGCTAAAGCTCCACCTCACAAATTACCACCGCGTCTCCTCCCTCTGGAGCAACACACTTTCCACCTCAGCTGCTAAAAACTTAGCCATAGCCCGGGCGAAAGCCTTGACGCCAACAAACCCACTAACATACCATCCCACCTTCGCCTCATTAAGTCGGCCCTAGAATCATTATCCCCGGGTGGCGCCGACAACCTAGTCTACATCTCTGAAGGTGCCAACACAATGGACATCCCCCGCAGCATCTTCACCGTATCACAACCCCGCCAGCGCCTGGATACCGGCACGTACGCTACAATGGGTGTCGCTGAAATGGCCTACAACCACACCCATGAAGCCACCCCCTCCCCCTCCTCTCCACCATTAGAAAAAGGATTATATCCATAGAAGGCGACAGCGCCCTCGGCTTCTCCCTTCCTGAAATCGAAACCATGTCCCGCTACCGCCTCTCTATCATCATTTTCGTCCTTAATAATGAAGGTGTATACCACGGCATATCTGACAACACCCCTAGCTGGGGCGCGACCGGTGGGATCGGGATAAACAAGGGAAGAGGCGGGGCGTTCTCCTCATGAGCACCGCTCTGGGGTTTGAGGCCGGGTATGATGTTGTTGCGGGGGGGTTGGGTGACAGGGGATGGAGGGTTGCGGATGAGAAGGGACTGGTCAGGGCTGTGCAAGAGGCGTGGGAGCATAGGGATGGGCTGAGCGTTGTTAGTGTTATTGTTGCTTCCGGGGTTGGGGGGGATTTGGAATTTGGATGGTTGGGGAAGGGGAAAAGAGGGGAGAAGGAGAAGGAGAAGGGGAGTGGAGGGAGTAAGTTGTAGGATTGTGGGGAGTGAATGATTATATATGCGCGGAGGGCTTGGAGGTGGGCCGGTATCGAGAATTGGGGGAGGGAGAGCGTCATAGAACTTAGTGGGAGCATCTTGGGTGGTGCTTTTGCGGAGGTGGTGTTTGGTGGGAAGGTTTGGTGGGGTGTGAGGTGAACTTAAGGGTGCGTCTGGTTGACACCTCAAACCTTCATTTTGACCCCCGGTTATGAAGGTTTGTCACAAAATGCTATTTTGCTTTTGAGTGGCATGTCTGGTCCATGTTGAAGTTTCCTAAATTTGTTTCATATGTATATTCTCCTTGATAATAACCGATATTTCTCTACTTGGTATTTCTTTATAGACCACAAACATTACTACAGCTAGAGTATGTATTACCTTATTTTATTAATATTTCATGATACGATTAGGGGATTATTCACATGCTTTCTTATCTAGTGTTCAAGTTAATTTCTTACATTTTAGGTACGGTCATTAGTTATTTGATTTCCAATCATGTTCTAATTATCTGCTCACCCCACGTCAGATTTACACATGTTTTATGGGATTTCCTTGTCAGTTCTTCAGGATCAAACATGCTTGCACTTATGTTTTCCCTACTGATGTTATGGTCAAACACATCGATCCTTATGTTTTCCCTTATGTTTTCTTTCTATTACATAAAGGATGCACACCTGTATAAATAGGGATTACCATCCATCTCATATAAAAGAATTAAGAACAAGAACTACTACCAATTTACCATCATACAAAACTCCTCCTTGCTTAGTGTGCCCGCAGTACATGCTAGTGCTTTCTACCGAGTCGTATTTTCATACAGTGTTATTAAGATAGTGCCATACTGTACACATTTGAACAGTTCACACCAAAACACAATATTTAAAACACAATAATAATGTTAAAATGAAGGTCTCTGAAATACTGGTCTGACCAGTATTTCACAAACTCTCATTTTGGAGCAGCATGTATTGGCTACAATAACCCATTCACACTACTAATAGTAGAGTAAAAAAATTAAAAAATAAGTATTGAAATACAGGTGCCAATGTGTTTTGTACATGAATTATTCTGATTTTTTTGAATGACCTTTTTGCAATTGATTTTTCAGGCAACCAGACACCTCTGGGAGTATGAAAACTCCCAATTATAACAACTTGCAATTATTTCAGTTTCAGCCTGCAAATCAGGTTTTGTGATCATCAAGATTTGAAAAACTCGGGATGACCAGACACACCCTAAACCTTTTTCTCTCAAGGGTTTGTAGCTTGGCTTTATTAGCTGGATCATGTGTACAGAGCCAGTTACAATAGCAGCCTTAACATTCAAGTATGATAGCATAGGATATGATGACAGCAATCTTCCGCTTCTAGGGCATGGCAGTAGGGAGCAAATTTAGGACCAGAAGAATACCGTGTTTCACGTCTTGATTCTTAACGAGAAGTTTGATAGGTTTACTGTACTCGAGTACTCCATAAGGGTAACCCCAATCGTACCAGGGCCCGGTAAGCAGTGATTGAACAGTTATCAAAGGTTAACCAGCCAAATATCTCCCTGTCCGTTCAGGTTCACTGTTCCCCACCCTAGTATTTACTTAGTTGATTTATTAGCTCCAAACACTGCTGTGAATTGCGATACTGACTTAGAGAAGTTCAGCTTAGCAAGTTAATGGAATTGCAAAAGCCAGGTAAGGAGATCCTTGACAGCCAAAGGACTCTTGCTATTCTATGTCAGGAAATTAGTAGAGTTATCATGGGGGATAGCATAGAGCTGAACCCCACCACAAACAAAATTGCAATCAGGTGGTCTTTCAAAGCATTGGTTGTTTTACAGGAAGTAATGTTAGCATTGTAGAGTTGTAGAGGTGGGTGAATCGATTAATAGAAAGCCTGCTGCAATATCTAATAAAAAAAGATAAAAAACACCTAGAATCTGGACTTTTTTATTTTTTTCTCCTGCCAAAAAGTCAAGCGACAAAGTTTTATATAAATTTAATTACAAGTTCGTAAATATGAATGGGAAAAATACTGCATTGCTCTCTTGTATACAGTTAGAAGTAAACCTTCGACAGCAGTCATTTCCCACATGACTGGATGAGACAAAGAAGCTATGCTTTGATATTTCCATCAATATAACTTGAACACATTTCTTTGAATTTGTCCCAATCCCAAAGCCCCTGTGTGGGAAACTTATCATACCTTTCTCTCCCCCTCTTCGCAATCTCCAGAACCCTCTAGCTCTTTACGACTCTGCTTCCCCCCTCGCCCTTTGTTTGTACAGCCCTGACCAGATTAGATATTTCAATCACCCCCCTCTACGTTATCTCCTTAAGCCTCTCCCCAAGCTCCAACACCTTCCTCGCTCCCCCATTATCACCCTTGAGCAGAACCTCCTTCACCCACCCTTGCTCCAAATTGTCCTTCATCTCCTGATGTAGCACTCTAGGAACCTTCCTCTTGATCTTTCATGTGCCGATCTCAATAGCCGAGCCTTCTCGGGGATGAACACAGAATCCTTGCATGCCATCATGGGCAAGTGTGAGGCCAGGGTTTCTATTAAAATAGTACGATTAGCTTATGCTATACACTTGCATATACGAGTTGGTATGACTCATGTATGCGACTATGTTTGAGTGATAGATATTTCCTTGGATGGGTGGCTGTGCATGTTACTATGACTTGGGTATAAATAGACCGGAATATCTGCTAAGTTATCTCGGGATATGGAAGGAAGTATCCCGGGTGTCCCCTCCACTCATCCCATCCCTACTGTCACTTCTACTACAGGTGGGCTACCACCCCACAACTATGAAACAGGCAAATGGCATCATGCTTGACAAGCCAGATAAGGGAGACTACTCAACTCCAACCGCCTTCAGAATTATCGTCCTCCTCCCGACCTTGTCCAAGATATTGGAAAGAATAACCACAATGCGACTTGCCCCCCTGCCGCGAGAAAAAAGGCTTCTCTCCCCCCACCAATGTGGCTGCCTCGCCGGCCTATCAACAACAGACGCCGTGGGCGCCCTCACACACGAAATAAAGACACTACAGAAGGCGGGTCTCAATGCCTCCTCACTTTTCCTGGACATCAAGGGAGGTTTCAACAATGTACAAAGCAGCCTCCTCTGCTCCTGCCTTTCCCAAGGTGGGATCCCCCAGTACCTGACAGCATGGGTGGAAAGCTTCCTCCGGGACAGGTCCTGTGCCCTCCAATTCCAAGGCTCCCCGAAGACAATGGCCCCCGTTTCGGTTGGGACCCCACAAGGTTTCCCCATCTCCCCTTGTAACGACCCTACGTTATAGAGCTATGGCAATCTAGGTCTACGCCCATACATAAGGCCAAGAGGCTATATGGTAGCCTAGGCGGGCATGTTGGAGCATGTCCGGGAGATACTCGATGGTCCGGGTATCCCGAAGAACAGAAGGTACTTGAGATATAGGTATACCGAAGTAGCGGAAGTAACGTGACTATATTGGTTTCGGCCTAAAAGATAGGTCGGAAGGCCAGGTGAGTTTACCCTGTCTAGATAAGTCACGTTACCCTGCCATGGAGACCAGTTTTGTGTCACCATGAACATACTTACCCTACCTTGGGGACACTATTACCCTACCTTCCATCGGAAAGGTTCTCAGAAAGATTCCGTGTAATGTTAGGATTGTTTGTTACGCAATGACGATCGACGGGCACTTGATTGCACATTGATCGGAAGACTACGGGAGGAGCTAGAGTGCTCCGAACAACCAGTAACTTGGCAGAATAATTCCTAACAAGTACCTGTGGCCCCAGGGTTCGCCCCGGGCGTCATGGGCCAAAATGGGTGGAGTTGCCGTCTTACTAGTTAAATGGAATCATTGAAGACATGTCCATGACACTCTATACATCGCTGCCGTCAGTCCAACCGGAAGCTGTTCGCGGGATATATAACGGGGCTAGGTGAGAAGGTGAAGTACCTTCTCCAAAAAGAACGGAGTAAAAGGGACCAAAACTGACGGAGTTAGCGTGTGCTCTCCGGCAGGGTCCCCACAGTAGTCCCAGGTAGTGCCGGAGACATCTGGAAAGGTTTTACGCCAATCAAGCCTACACGTGCCCCTTTGCTGTAGGCTCTTTACGGGTTGTTGGAAGACTCTAATAGCATGATCCTTATCACGCTGAGTGGTGTGCCGGCGGTAAGGGACCATGGGTAGCGCCCATGGGTCCCGCCGGCGACACAGCTCCTTGTCCGAGCGGCGTAGACCCCGCAAGTTCGCAATCAAAAAAGATAGAACTTAACCGGAGGACACCTGATGTCTACGGGTGCTTGCAAGGATCATAGCACATGGGAAAGGAGTCATTTAGTTAGCTTTCCTAGCAGTCTCGACAGTTAGCCACTGACGAGACACCGATGCGCAGAGGTTTTCACTCCGGCAGGTGTATTGGTAAACACCTCGCAGGAAATAATGTGCATATGGGAGATTTCTGCTAGAGTGCGCTGACACCTTAGGCCCTTCGGGGATGTGGTAATAGTGCCGGCAACCCTTACGGAGTAGGGCATGCTTATGTTGGTCGGGGCGACCTGATGGGGGAGTTACTGGTATAAGTCTGACTACTTAAAGCTTATACGAGAACTCTCCTGCCCCGACACAATCAACATCCTCTCGAGAGACTTTAATTGAGATAAGCCAGAGCTTAACGATATTAAGTTTTACCGTTACTTTTATTCTTTACACTTTACAAGAGTTGTGTTCGAGAGATTCAAAGTTTGGTGCGGTCGCATCCTTAGGAACCATCTACCTGAGGGAGCCCCCGTTACACCCCTCTACTGTTTATTATCTACATCTCACCTCTCCACCCCTTGGCGCCCAGGGGGCTCACTCTGTCCTACGTCGACGACATTGCAATGACAGTCGCCTTAGCATCTCATGAGTCCAATGCGGCCTCCCTTTCAACTACCTTCGACTTGCTCTCCGCCCAAG